CCAAAACCTTGTCTTGCTTTTTGCTGTTTATTTTGAATTCTTAAAGCTTATAAAGATACAGGTTCATTTTCTTATATTAAGGATTGAAGGCACTCAGCCAGTGTTTCCATCCTTGTCATTTTGAAGGCATCTAACTTTAGAAAAAAAGTATGGCCGCCTATCTTAAATACAACTCTGGGCAGCTCACAGCAATAAAACCAATAACTGTAAAACCATAAACCATAAAAACAAAAAACAAAAACCCAGTGCCTCAGTCATCCCCTTGGGATGCCCTACAATCAGCTCCAAATATCCTCAACACCTGTCTCAGTGCCCGGGTAAAGAGCCAGGTCTTGATGGCTTTCCAAAAGGCTAAAAAGGTAGGGACCTGCTGAATCACCAGGAGGAGAATGTTCTGTAATGTAGGGGCAGCCACGGAAAAGGCACACTTCCGTGGTCCCACTAGATGGCAAGATTTCACGAAAGGGATTTGGAGTATGCCTACCGTATCCGATCTGGCAGGACAGGCAGATACTCTCTGCCTGAGAGGGACTGACCTGCAAATAACCTGGTCCCATGCCATGTAGGGCTTTAAAGGTGATAGCCAGCACCTTGAATTGCACCCAGAAGGAAACTGGGAGCCAGTGCAGTTTGCGCAACAGAGGAGGTGTAATGTGGGCAAACCTAGGAATACCCAGTACTATGTGTGCTGCTGTGTTCTGGACCAGTTGTAGCTTCTGAGTGGTCTTCAAGGGTAGCCCCATGTAAAGCACATTGTAGTAACCCAAAAGGATGGCTGTTTGGGAGTTGAAATCCACACTTCTTAAAGTTGCTGAGGTTGAGAAGCACTTATCTAGGTTACATTTTCTCTATCTTACTAAAAAGTGTGATATGAAAGTTCAGTTGTCCAAGATGGGTGGCAAAACTTAGTATCTATGGGCCTATCTGCTATTAGCTGTGGCATCTGAAAAATTGTGACTTTGAAGGTCAGAGGAATAAGTAACAAAGAGTGTAAGTTAAGGAATGAAATCAATGAAAAAAATAGATACGTTGCGTGTCTGTGAAAGTAAGACAAAGGGGAAGAGTGTAATAGAGCTAAATGATTGTATGGAGTGGAGTTGATGGATACAGGCAGGGAAGTGAAGGTGTAAGTTTAATTATGATCAAAAGGCTAAAATTTATGTCAGAGAGTATCAGTTAGTGCCATCTAGGTTGTTCTGAGTGCCTATGAAAGTAAAAGAGGAGAGCCTTCTGTGCTGTTGCCCCCACCCTTTGGAATATTATCCTACCCTCCCGGCTTTCTGGAAAGGATGAAAGACCTGGCTCTACCAGCTTGTGTGGGGTGACAACAATCTTACCCAATCCTGGGGGTGGCTGGCACCTTGATGACGTTCCTGAGTGACTGCCAATTTTAACATCTATCCTTGGGTCTGTTTATTTTCTATTTATTTAAGAATATTGTATAGTATAATTTTAATTGATTTTAACTGCTTTGTAAACCCCATAGAGTTGTTTCAGTGAGATGGGTGGTGACAAATTTGATAAATAAATAAATAAATAAATAAATAAATAAATAAATACCATTGCTATGTTATATTTTTAGATGTGCAAATGGCCCAGAAGAACCACAAAGTGTGCACTGAAAAATATATTTTAAATTTAAAAAAAAAAGGGAGGGGGATTAATTATGAAACCTTTCAATTCTCATGGTGTCAAAGAACAGTAGTCTCAAAGATGGGGTACAAGACAATCCACTGAGGTGCAGGAAGAAATTATTAGAATATTTATATTGATTTTTATTTAAAAAACAAGAAATCATGCTATACTAATACTAATATAGTATTAACTGACACTAATACCTAACAGTGTTTTAAACACACCCACGTTTGTTTGTGCACATTATATTATTCCAGTAGTACATATGCATAAAATATAAATAAGTAAACATATATTGGATGACTGTCAGAATACTGGTGAGAAAAAGTTACACTGCTGGATGGTTTGCTAAGATCAGAAACTGTTTAGTAAGAGGAAAAGTGTCTTTTCCCCATTAACTAGGAATTCAGACATGGATTTTACCTTGTATATATGATTATATAACTCACGAACTATAGTATATAATTAATC